TGAAGCAGAAGACTCCAGGCCTTTATAGACCTTTGGGAGGTAGAGATTCTGATTTGAACACAGTTGTCCATGACAGCCCGTAAGCATGCCAGGCTTAATAGTGCGTTTCCATAAGAGACAACTTCAGATGTTCACATGTTTCCAAAGGATCTTCCTTCAGATGAGTTTGCTAGGACTTATTAAGGTTACTAAGTTCAAAACAGGATGATTTTGACTTGATCTACATTCAGACAGGTGGGTGGGATTTTATTTGTGTAAATGTTTTCAGTTTTTGACTTAATTGAATTTCTGGTACAAGTGGTGTTTTTATTATTCAGAATTGGGTGTGTCCTGTACATTCAAACAATCTCTTGCCTATCCAGAGTTCCTTTTCATTACTAACACTGGGAAGCTTACAATTTCTGGTTTGAGGTGGTAATTTATTAGCCAGAAATGAATGGAAAAAAGGCTAAATCTGAAGACATAGGAAAAGATAGATTTTAAAGAAAGACAAATTCTTAATATTCTGCTTTCCGAATTGGTTTTTAATGGCTTAGGGCTGGTGTGGTATGGAAAGAGGAACAGTTCGGAAATGTGTTACACCAAGGTGACTGGGAGGAGGGAGAGGAGTATTCAATTCAATACTGAATTGTACAGATGATTATTGAATGCCTGCTGTGTGCCAGGAAGTATGCTAAGTATTTCACAGTAACTTTTCTCTTTATTAAATCATCATGGTATCAGATCTGCATATAGAGATACCTAGGGCATGCCGCCCCGCCGCATAACAGAACAAACTTGAAGTTGTAGTAGAGGGTGATAAATAGAATCTTGTGGGTATCCTTTGGCTTGGTGAGATGGGGTTCAAGACTGGAAAATGGCAATTCAGAGGAAATAAACTGCTGGCAGGGGGAGGGCAGAATTACATGTAGAGGACAGGAAAGTAAGATTTTTTTAGAGTAATAGAGACTCCTAGACTGGACGGAGGAAGAGAGAGACATGTTCTTAAAGTAAATATAAATTTTGTCACCTAAACTGGAAGTGGTGGTGACTAGCAGCTGCATTAGTTGGATGTCTGTGTCGAGTTGCATTTGCCTAAAAGCGGAGTGATTGGCAAATACTT